AACCTGAGTAAATTTTTTTAAATTTTCTCACAATAAATTTTAGTAAAAACTTTTGGTCAAGCTATTAATACCGCTGCTCAGCGGATTACCTACAAAATGAGCAGAGTTCTTGCTATCCTTCCATAATTCGGATCAAAAATCATAGTTTCTTAAAGTAGGGTCTTATAATGTTTGGAGATCTCGGGCTAGAAAAGTTTTCTCATATCGCTGTGATAATTTTTCGGCATGAATGGGACTTCCAAAAGTTTGTGATTGTAACATAACACAGTTTAGCTCCAACATCGATTAACAAAAGGGTGGAACCTCTGAAACAACCCAATAATTCTCAAATTTTCATTCTTCTAAAAAATTGCTGAGCTGTTCCCACATGTAAAGCTAAAAACTCACGGTTGCCTCTATGTCCAATCACTAGCGTGGGGACAGCTTAGCATCCTTTGGCAAAAGCATGAAAACTTTCACTATCTCTGTTTTTGAATGAAATCTAGTATTATGAATCCCCCGTTAAATTCACGTAGATCCTTTTGCGATTAAATAATATTTTCTAGAGCTTGCTCTGCTCTAAAGGATGATGCATTTTCACATTTTATATCTTCTGTAAAAATAGTAGAATATCTTCTATAGCATCAATACCACGAAAAGCCGGCAAAGAGTTGGCATTGACAAGGCTTTTGAAAAGGTGTTGTGCGTGACACTCGCTAACACGTATTGATGTTTATAGTTGAGTACGCAATGGGCTAAATTTTTTAGAATGGATCTTCATCATCTCCAGTGGTTGCTGATGTAGATGTTGTAGCTGTACCAGCACTGGAAGCACTGGTACTTCTCTTAGCACTGGTAGTAGTGTAAGTGAAGGGATCAGTGTACGTTATGGTTGGAGCACTAGTTCCGGCGGTAGATACGGTTGAATAATTCTCGCCATCGCAAACGAATCCCAAACAGTACGAGAATCTCATTCTACCGCACTTCACTGAAGCATACTGGAGATGGTAGCGTTGTCGAAGGTTGGTACCGCTTAGAAATTGACGAAACTGGAATAACAATTGTCAGCGACTAGCTACCATAAGAATAAACAGTATGGTTTACCTGTTCGCAATTTGTGTATCGTAGACCATATTTCGCCACGGGTAAGCCATTGA